ACAAATTGAGCATTTTGGTAAGTTACGTCAGCACTGTGCTCACAGATGCACAGATGAAAAAAATGTAACTTTCAAAGAAAAGAACTCCATACATTCTGTGAAACATGGAGGGGGCTCGGTTATGTTTTGGGGCTACTTTGCTGCATCTGCCACAGGGTGACTTGAATCTGTGCACAGTGAAACCTCCAGACTGTCCAAGCATTTTGGAACAAAATGTATATTGCGCAGTGTCAGAGAGCTTTGTCTCAGCCACAGACCATGGGTCCTCCAACAGGATAATGACCCAAAACGCACAGCTACAGTAAAAGCACCACGAATGGCAAACAAAACACTGGACTATTCTGAAGTGACCTTCTGTGAGCCTTGATCTAAATCCATTCAAATATATATGGGAAGGACTGAAACTTCAGCCTGGGGAAGGCAGCTTTCAAACCTTTATATTTTCACATCATGGTCTTTGGCCTTTAAATCATACAATATACCCATCACAGCAGCATGGTCATATGCATATTGTATGTGTGTGTCTGTGTGTGAACACAGGGACACAGAATACAAATTTTCTCATGAACCTTGACTCTTCCTGTGTTTAGCACTGAGGATCCGTGGCCTTGGGTTAATGCATAGTGTTGTGGCTGAGTCAGACTCTGTCTACTTGGATGCACCAGCAGGAAAAAACACTGATAGAAGCCAGAGGAGTTTACCCAACAAGGACCTCAGCTTCTAATCTGCAATTGGTAAAGTCTTTGCTCCAGACAATGTGAGTTTGTTTCCCAATTTTGAGTTTTTAATTGACTTGATGGGTGAACTCGTGTTGTGACGGCTTCCACTAGGGGACTTGAGCTCAGCATAAGCTTTCCCATGCTGGTCCCCTGCCTGATATCCTCGCATGGTTTTCTCAGCATCTCTCTGTCCTGTGTTAGTAGCAGGGGTGGCCGGGCCATGTGAGAAACAAAAAGAGGACTTTGTTTCCCAGTGGAGAGAAAGAGTTGGATCTCGATCAGCCTTGTGTCAGGAGAGCCTATTCTCTTTTGTACAACCCTAATCATCTTTCTTTTAAGGGCATGTTTATGTTTGCACATTTTTCCCCGTTCATTTGTACTGAAGAAGACTGAACTCATGAGAATGCTGTTGCAGCCTGCAATGCCTTGTCTCCTAGCTCTGTATGGGCATGAAGGCACAGTCTCGGCAGCATTTTGACCTATTTCGTGTTCATTTTTAGGCCATAATCTGCTAAAACGTACACACCGTAGATGGGTACAAACATTGTCAGGCGGTCGGGTACTGATCTCGAAAATATTGTTTGTGGGAAAACATTGTTGCAGCTGCATTTCCCACAATTATGCCGCTTGAGTTACAGTGATGGGATTCATGGCAGCATCCCAACAAACTGGGGGGTGGGACAAAAAAGAGAAGAAGAATGTTCAGAGAAAAATTGCAGTGATATAACTCTATATTCTTTTTAAAAAAGTCATTGTGAATACTATTTGTGTTCCTGAAAATATTATAGACAGCTGTAATGGTGAGCATTAGGTGTGTTTCTTACTGGTCCTGTATCAGCCTCTTCTTGCCGCTCATTCTTGCTTAAAGGCCTCTTTCTCTCAGTTCCATTCTATTTCCCTGACACTTTCTAATCCTCTTTCACATACCTAGAGTGAAATTCGCTTTATCTAAATCTCTGAGCCTCTTTCTTTTTCCTTTCCCTTATCCAGCCTTGTGTCATCCAGGAGTGCTTGGAGGCGTTTCCGCTCCCAAACTCCCCATGAGCTCTGGTCTCCCTAGTGGGATATTAATAAGAGAGAGGAGGGGAACAGTGAGACACACTCCCAGGCGGGACGAGGGTGGAAAGTAAGAAGTGGGAAAAGGGTCGGGGCTCCGGCCGGCAGCCGTAAATCCATGCACAGATTGTGCACACACACACACAAACAAATACAGCATGTTTTTTAGAAGAAATAAATGGATAAAGGGGAAGTGACTGACTGAGAATAAAAAAAAAACACTACAATATATTTTATCTAGGCACCTTTTATGTTTGCTTGATTGTCCTGCATACAGTAGGAATTGAGAGTGAACACAAGTGTCTGGACTGTTTTGTTTCCTCATGGGTGAGAAAAATGACAAAACCAAGAAAATTTGAAATATTTCCAATCTTTATAATGATCAAGTTAAAATCCATTATGTTCTGTTGATTTTATGCAAATATTTTGTAGGTTTTAAAGCTGGAAAATGAATATGACTATTACTGTATGTGCAGTTAACATAATTTTTTTGTTTCATTCATTATGCTATAAAGTGGCGTTTGCAGTGAAGCTAAAGTGTGTGTTGCCTTTAGGGGAACGCTGCTGAGCCATTGTCAGAAGTTTGTAGGACAAAAGTGGCCTGTGCTGTCTGATCACAGTTCTTGTTGTCTCCATGTGGCATCAGCTATGGACAGCCAGTCCTCTAAATTAATGAGTTGAGATTTGCAACACTTCATGAGGATTATGCGGCGCAACCCATCTCTTCTTCATTGTCTGAAGTCAAAATATCCCGTCTTACAGCAAAATGTGTAGTAACTACGGTAGTCCACAGGGCCAAATGTACTAGTGTCACCGCCAAAGTTGTGACACCTTTCTAGCAGTGAAAACAAATTAAAGCGTTTAAGTTTAGGTACTGAAACTACATGGTTATGGTTAGGGAATGACCCTGGGTTCAGTTAAAACACTCTCAGTTGAAAAGTACAATGTTGCACGACATCAGACACGATATCCTAGGGTGTGTGAGAGAGAGGTGTTTGTTGGACCCATCCATCTGCCTCAGCCAAACTGGACATTCAGTGTTAGCTTCCTGATCCACACTCCGATCCAGTAGGTGGTGGTAAGGCACCATGTTGTTGTTTGCCAACTGCCATAAAACACTAAGAAGAACGTGAAGCCGGACACTGGGCTGTGATACAAACATAACTTAGCCATTGTAGGTCTTCATGTGAGACTGAGCTGGATTTCTCATATATACTGTAATATGTTCTTTTACATTAGTCATGTTTTCATATCAATGGCCTTTATATGTAAGTGGTACAAACATTACATAGAAATATGCATACCTAAAGAATTACCTGAACCCATATACAACTTATACTGTTAAACATGTCACATGTTGTCCAACATTCGCTCCAGCATATGGTGTGTGTCTCATCAGACAAACACTGAGGGAATAGAGGCCAAAGAGCGGTCTGACTGCTCAGCATATTTGTTCCAAATGTAACAAAAGATCTTGTCAGCATATTGCCAATCGATGCTTTCTCTTGTCTGCCTGCTGCGATGGCTCACCCACAGAAAACCCCAGACCAACAGAGAATGATGCTGATTTATGTATTGTGTTAGCGTGCCCATCATTCTTTACTGACTTTGCATTTGAGACAAACTGAAGATCTGCCTCTCTCTGCTGCGGTTCAAGTTTCAGGAAATGGAGCTGATCAGACAGCGAGCGCTAACCTCCTACACAGCTTAAGACTGGCACAGACTGACCTGTGTGGTCTCACTTCTCCTTTTCTGTCTGTTCCTGGTTTTATAACATATCAGCAAAAGTCACCCAGCCATACATTTGTCAGTGCTGGCACTTTAGCTTTAGACCAGACCAGTTTTTATGCACTCTGTGCCATTTTTAAACCTTTATCTGTAAAGCAGATTGCCAATGGCTCCACACAGAAAATCTAAACAAAACTCCTCTTCTACTGGAGAAGAGTTCAAACAAGTAAATAGATATTTAGTGGCGGGAGCTTATAGTGTAGCTCCTGAAGCAAATCAGGCACATACGCCCACTGTCATTTTTATCATATTTATAAGCAATAATACTAAATACTACCACAGAGAGACAATCAACGGAACAAGGTGCTGTTTTCTATCAGGTCTATTTTAACAACAGCAATACAACTGGGAAATGCTAAATTAAACAAATGGCACTCTGCAAGTGAGTTTTATGATCTCATTTTTAAAAAAATGTGTTATTTTAAAAGATGACCATGGAAAGATTTGGGTTTCAATAGGCTTGTTGTTTGCCAAAATTTGTGAACTGATTCAAAGCTGAGAGAAGTGACAAAACACAGGATTTCATTGTGGGAGGACAATGATCTGTGGAGCACTTCAGTAGCTCAGTGGTGGCGGACTGCAGTGACTGTAGAAACAGGAGGGTTTGCAAGAAGCTTTTAGTTTCATGTTCTTGAATCAATCATATTAGTCTGAAGTGTAACGATCTAAAAAACCCTCCTTTTGTACAATGTTTTGCTTCACAATTAAACTTAAAAAAATTTAATCAAATGTACTGTCTCAAGTTTATTATCCACCTTGAAGAGAGCAGCTTCTTGCTCATAATAGGATTTTATCAACTATTGTGTTTTTATAAATGGGTACTGTCAAATCGTTTTATACAATGAACAAACAGACAAAAATTCTGAGTGGAAAGTGGGTTTGGTAAGTTGAACGTTCTGTTCAGGGAAACAAAAGAGAAAACAACAGTTGATGGGAAATAAAACATCTGTACTAATTGTAATAAATATTACAAAAACTTTGTGTGTAAAGCATCTGAATGACAGGCTGAGGACCTAAAATGTCTTCTGCAACACCAGCAGAGAAATGTCTTCACAACAAGTTACAGCAACAATCTCCAGTGCACCTCTGCTATCATTACTGCCAGGCCAG